AATGATCATTCTTGCAATAATAACGTTCAAATCGTAATGGAATACCTTGAGGATATATCGTTTTCCTATAGGCAAGTTTGTCAGAGTCAGATATACTAAATGTATGATAAGTACGTAAAATATCACTAATTTTTATTCTCTGGGCTTATTTATCATCTTTGTTCAATATATTGTAGTTTGCAACACATTGTTCGCAAATGGTTTTGGAAAGATTATATTGACTCCTTTTGTCGGAAATACTTTGATATACTTTCGCATTATCAATAATAATTTGAGGGTTAATAAAGTTATCAAAAGATAAATTATCAGTTATATGTGGTTGTTGTTTAGGAAGAGCCTGAGTTGGAAGAGATTGTTGTTGTCTCTGTTGAGGAAGAGTCTGAGCTGGAAGAGATTGTTGTTGTCTCTGTTGAGGAAGAGCCTGAGCTGGAAGAGATTGTTGTTGTCTCTGTTGAGGAAGAGCTGGCACTGGAGGAACTTGGATGTTTACTCTATTTACTTGTATAAAATTAGGTGGTAATTTGAGGATTGCTTGCCGAGATTTATTATTATTTGATTTTGGTTTCAATATGCGTCCATTAATATTTTGATGACCATCACTAATTTCATCATTAATATTTGAATTTCTTTCATTAATGTTTTGATTAATATTTGAATGGCTATTAATCGTTTCTCCATCAATATTTGAATTTCTTTCATTAATGTTTTGATTAATATTTGAATGGCTATTAATCGTTTCTCCATCAATATTTGAATTTCTTTCATTAATGTTTTGATTAATATTTGAATGGCTATTAATCGTTTCTCCATCAATATTTGAATTTCTTTCATTAATGTTTTGATTAATATTTGAATGGCTATTAATCGTTTCTCCATCAATATTCGGATTCCTATTGCCAATTATATCATCAATATTAAGCGCGTTTCCTGATTTAATTTTATCTGATTTTACATCTTCAATGATATCATATGAATCATCACTTGATTCAACATCGCTATCTGCTTTAAAAATCCCTTCTGCTAATACTTCTGTGTATTTTTTACCATTGCTATCTGTCCTTATTGCAATCATTTGACCTTTTATATCACTTCTTCTAAATTCTCTTACTTGTTTTAATAAGCAATTAAGTTCATATCCATATTCTTCGATTGAATCCATGTTCAGTATTTTCATAGCAGTATCAATGTCATTTCTGGCTGAAAACAATGCAATTTGTGAAATATCCATATCATATCCACATTTTATTAAATCCTCCAAATTTGATAGTTTAGTTGAAGAAATTATTGGATTGTCAAATAGTTTAGAGGCTTTTTTGACTCTTTTATTTCAATTGTCATATCTGAATAATGTTTAACATAATTAAATAATTGTATCTTCTTTGAATCTTTTTGTAATATAAAAGTCTTTAGTTTAAGATGAAATACTTTGGAAGCATATAGATATAATGATAGACAATGTATTTCTTGAGGAGTATTGACTTTTTTAATTTTATTTCCATATTTGAGCGTGATAACCATATCAAAAATGAATAACCTTAATTTATAAATCTGAATTTGATTTTAATAATAAAAATAATATATATATGTAATTCATGAATTATATTTTTACACTTCATTTTACCTGAACAAATATAGCTGATATCAAATAACAATTTAATATAGAAATTGAAATTGTTATATATGCAATGTAAATACACATAATACATATATTATAATTTATCAATGATTATTGTCTAGACCAAAATTTGTAGATGGAATTATGCAATTTCTCAATTTAAAGTCCCAGCTGTTTGTATAACAACTTCATATTGAAATTTACTAATAAACACGGTAAGTTTCATAATTTTTATTATGATGATCTTACATTTGATTAAAATCGACGATTTTTCAATTGGAAAATAGTGCAAAGTAATAAAGAATATATTTAGCAAATTTTAAATTTTTTCAAAAATTTTAGAATGAATCTTAAATGAATAATAGAATTAAATGAATAATTGGGTATGATAAGATAAGTGAAGGTAAAAGATAATTTTAGTAAACGAAAACGTGTAAAGTTGAAGCAAGGTAACATTTTAATCATTTAAAAAAGAAAAAGAGGAAAACTTTGTTCTTGAATCTTCTTGGTGAAAGACAAAATTCAATGAAACAATGTTGATTGATGTACATTGACACAGAAACATTGATTGTGTAATCAATCTATTGAAACTACAAAACTTTGTTCTTGAATCTTCTTGGTGAAAGACAAAATTCAATGAAACAATGTTGATTGATGTACATTGACACAGAAACATTGATTGTGTAATCAATCTATAAAAATTCATTAAACTATTTTAGCTTTCCTTTAATTAATTTTATTATTTTAATTATTTGATCATTAAGTCTCATTGTTTTACAACATCCCCATTCTCTCATTATCTTCGTTTAAATTAATATCTATTTTTAGATTTATTATTATATGAACTTTTGTTTAGGTTCTTTTAAAATAAGTTTCTTTGCGAGAATTAATTATTTTTTGTTTTCCTAAACTTACACATTTATAATGAACATTCAAGCTAAATCGACATTGTTTTGATAATTAAATATGCATTTAATGAAAATATTAATTGTCACTTTTTATATTTGTTAATGAAAATGATTTTTAAGTTATAAGGTGCCATGACAATTGACAAAGAGTTATACATTTGTACACACTAGCATATTGTAGCAGTTTATATTATAAATAAAGATTCGCTTTATTTTACGAGTTTCAAATTTAGATCTGAACCATGTTGAAGATCTTTCAAATCAATACGACAAATACATTTGTACACACTAGCATATTGTAGCAGTTTATATTATAAATAAAGATTCGCTTTATTTTACGAGTTTCAAATTTAGATCTGAACCATGTTGAAGATCTTTCAAATCAATACGACAAATACATTTGTATACACTAGCATACTGTAGCAGTTTATATTACAAATAAAAATTCAGTATTTATTTTTATAACTTATTTTTTATTACATAGATTTTAATTCTAACTGAAAAATATTTCTAATCTATTTATATACATGTATTTTACTTAATGACATTGATGATATATGCAATTTATATGCACGTTTATCAATTATCAATTTGAGCCATTGTATTGTTCATGGTAGTAATATTTGAATTTTAATAGTTGTTATCAACACCACGTAGCTTTTTGTCCTAAATTTATACTATAGGGTGTCCAAAGGTGCGTTTAGCACAGCGCTCTATATGAGACTATTAAAGGAGATATATGCTGATTATAAATATATAATAAAAAATATGAATATATGTATATGATGAGTAAGTTGTATTTTGGCGCCATGCCGGGATATAAAATGAATTTTGAGACAAGAGGCGGTTTCGCGGGAAATTTTGGCGGGATTTTTTTCATTTTTTTAATGAATCATAAAGAAAACATCCTCGCTCTTGCAAAAAAATGCAAAGACTGTAAAAAAATCTACGAGACATTGGTAAAATGCTTCGGTATGGATGCTCCTAGCTATTCCACTGTAACGTATCATGTTAGGATGTATCACTTCATGAACAAAAAGGCGCCCATCATAAAAATTGACAAAAAATCGCCGGATCAAAGAAAAATCAAAGCAATTCTTCAAGCGCTAGATGAAGACCCAAGAGCATCACTCAGAAGGATAGAGGAGATGACAAAGATACCACGTACAACAGTCAGTAATTATCTGCACAATTATTTGAACTACAAACTAGCGTATACACGTTGGGTTCCGCACAACCTTAATTCAGTTCAAAAAAAATCTAGAGTCCAATCTTCGAAAGAGCTCCTCTCTATATTGGGTGCGTATCAATCCAAGAAGTTTCGCTTTTTAGTAACCGGGGACGAGTCTTGGTTTCAATATGCAACAGAAGCCAAAATCATGTGGATCCCGAAGGATGAAAATCCGCAAACATTCCCGAAGAAAAAAATTGACACACCAATGATTATGTTGTCGGTTTTTTGGGGCGTGAATGGCATCATCGCAATTGATATTCTTCAAAAACCTAATACGATGAATGCTCAGTATCTAATTGACAATGTTCTTACTCAAATTATCAATTCTGATGAGTTTGAGAAATCCAAACAACAAAAACAAAAGTTTGCAATTCATTTTGATAATTCAAGAGTTCACAAAAGTCATAAGGTAATGAATTACTTGTTGGAAAACAATGTCAAAGTTGTTCCAAACCCAATTTATTCACCTGATATTGCACCCTCTGACTTTTATTTATTCGGCACGCTAAAAAAGAGAGCTGAAGGACGCGAATTCGCGAGTCCAGATGATCTTGAAAATTTTGTAAGAGAGCAATTTGAGCAATTTTCTCATGATGATTTAAAGCGTGTCTTTCAAGCCTGGATCGATCGCTGCGAACGCGTGATTGAATCCAATGGTGATTATATTTAAATAAACTTTATATATATGTAACTTGTTTATTTCTATTCGCAGTATTCAGGTTTGTGCTAAACACACCTTTGGACACCCTATATTTGGTTCCGAAATAAGATTATAAATTTTTAAATTTAAATTCGACTTTTAAATACACTACTGATCGATTGCTTATATTGAGTTTCTGCTTTGCAAACAAGTTGAGGTTATAATTGTAAGTTTATTTGTATGAAATAAGAAATAATATATGTGACATTTGGATTTTATGCTACCATTTTTCTAAACAGGTGGTAGTGAGTCATTCACTTAAATATTGAGTAATCTTCAATAATGTGTAACGAAGATTTCTCTGAAACCATTAAAATAACGTATATAAATAATCGTATGTCAAAATGTGTGCCTATTTCAATTTTGCACACATTTTGACAGAAATTTGAATGAAATTTAGAGGTTTTTCTTCAAATTTGAATGATGCTTGTCAGAAAAAGTGTCAAAATGTGTGCAAATGTGTGCTATGTTTTTTTCTCGAAATATTTAGTCTTTAGAATATTCTTAATTCTTGCATAAACCGGCGCTATATCTTAAATTATATCATTTAACATTTTTACCGCGAAGTTTTTGAAGATTTCGGAGATGCTCATAACCTTCGATAATATTATTATCATGATATCCAATAATGTCTTCTATTGGCAATGGATCGATAAAGCACTTAGATTCAATATTTTTAATTCCTTTACAATTTTTCATATTTTCGTACTTAAAATGATCCAAGCTCGGAAAACCATGACCTATCATTGGAGCAGAACATGTATCAAAACTTATATTTAATATATGAATTAATTTATTAAAGGCAAAATCTTCAGGATACTGATGAAAGTCATTTTTCATATATGAATCAAAATTTTTCAAAATTAGTTTTGCCGCATATCTGGACATTAAAAATCCAGTGCCACCTTGCAGGAATGGAGGATCGAGTCCAACACAGCTTCCTTTGACTACTATTTCTTTATCAGGATCGTATTGGTGTAGTAAGCTGTTAATGTACTTTGATGTGGTTTCTAGATCTATTAAGTTATCATCATTTGCAACCCAAATCCATTTATAATTTGAGAAATTTTCATATACGTAGTATAGGCCTGAAAAGCGTTTGGATACAACTTGTCTTTCTTTAAAATTACCTTGTCGGACATCATACTCTTTGACAATTGGATTACTTTTGTACTTCGAAATTTGATGGTTTTCCATTGTAAAGGTATAATTACAGCCATAGTGTGGGAAATCTTTGAGAATATGATCGTACTGAAAATCTTACCTAAAAAGACCTTTTTGGTTATCCGTTGAAGTATATACTAGAAAAAGGTTGAGAGGAGGAATAGAAATCCATCTATATTGAATTTGTATTGAAACCGAATATAGAGAAAGACAAATAAATGATGTCATACAGATAAAAATGCTTAAAGAACCGAGGGGTGCTTTAAGATTCATTCACTACTTTTGACTTCGCTTTCGAATTTTTGTGAAGTTTACAAGATAGGTAGGTCCACAAAATCGTAATGATTCTTTCTTGATTTTGGTATTGAATTTGGACTATGTAGGTACTCGATGACTAATAGACCAAGAATGGAAGAAAACTGCAAGAGCGATTTCGAGGTATTATTATTAAAATTAACATTCGATTCTTTCGGTTGTGACACTTAAAATCCCAATAAAAAAGGGCATATACCGGAAAAGGGGGTATACACAATTTTTAAACTTAGAAATCTTATTCTTTATATGATTTTGGATATATTTTTTCCCGAGGGCATACCAAAATTGTGAGTTCTTTTGTGAGAAATAAATTTGCTGTTCGTTTAAAATTTCATTTCTACCATAAGACAATGAGACTCACTCACCTCCACTTGCATCGCCATGATACCACTGCAGTTTTCAGCTTGTGTATAGACATCTATACAAGCTATATCTTACTTCATGGTATAAGTGTTTCTATGGACAACTGCTTTAAATAATACCCAGGACCCTCAAGAAAATGTGGGACCCAAAAAATGTGCAACGTTATATTATAATATTGTGAATAGTGTAAGTCCTGTATTTACTATTAGATTTGTTCAAATTCATATTTCCCATTCATGCTATTATTTTAGGCAAAAATTTTAAATAATTAAAAAATACTTAGAAAGGGGTAAAAATCAAGAATCCGACGGAGTTGATAAAAATTCCTAAAAACCGCCAAATCCTGAGATTCATTGAGTGAATTCTTTTTATTTTGGAGATTCTGGACAAGCTTATCTGAAGCAAATTATAAACAGAAAATAAAAATTTGGAATTTATTCAATTTCGAATAAAATTGTGTATATATTCTATCAATGATATTACTATATAAATTGAGAGGACGCATGTAAAAATGTCACTTTTAAATATAGACTCATTTAATCAATACTACGTATTTTTCATTACCTTATTTATCATTAGTGATCTTGTTTAACAGAGTGTTCAAATCAAATTGTTTTTGAAGTTTCTTTTCGGATTTCTTGTTATCATATTGCTTTCTGATTTGTTCTGGTGTTTTCCATTTCGGTTCTTCATACTTGTTCTTCTTTGGCTCTGGTTTTATTACATCAGGCTTTCTCTGTTTCTTTGGAATTAGTTTCTCTTCTTCTTCACTTTGATCTGATTCAGAGTTCCTCTTTGATGGGATTTCTTCTTCAATAGAGTCATATTCAGGTTGCTTATTTGACTTCTTGGGAGTAAGTAAGGGGGATTCAGATGATTCGATTCTTTCTTTAGATTTCTCTGGAGATGGAAGAAGATGATCGGATAACTCAGATTCTTGTTGTTTTCTTGGAGGAGGTGAAGGAGATTCTGATGATTCTGAATCGGTTTCTTGTTGTTTCTTTGATTTCTTTGGTGGAGGAAGTTCTTCGGATGATTTTGAATCGGTTTCTTGTTGTTTCTTTGATTTCTTTGGTGGAGGAAGTTCTTCGGATGATTCTGAATCGGTTTCTTGTTGTTTCTTTGATTTCTTCTGAGAAGAAAATTCTGTTTCCTGTTTTTCTTCTTCGGTGTCTAAAGAAAGTTCTTCTGGATGACCATTCTCTGTCTCCTGAACTATATAGTCATTTCTATATTCAGGATAAACATCACAGGTGTAAATCACTGTGTAATCAAATGGATTTGTCATTGGATCTTGTTCATCTTTAGCTGGTGCCTGTGGATTATGAATTCTATTGAAGCGAATCATGGAATCATCATACAGCTCTTCTGGTGCTTCGTGGTTTTCAATCAAATCATCGATTGTATCGAATGGAAATGCTAAGAGAACGCTTTCATTCCTGGATTCAGCTGCTTCTGCAATCTGATTGATCAATTCCGGATTATCAATATTCGAGTTATCAAATCCGAGTTCTTTGACACGAGAAGATCTTACAATATCAATAAGTGCTGTAAATGCATCATTTCCGATCTCCTGATCAGAGATTTCGATTGTTTCGAGGTTGGATATTTCCTTCAGTACCTGAACAACTTGATTCATCACAGGTCCGCATGATTGGTCGATTATGCCTCTCAGGAAGATTTTTTCGAGCTTTGTCAAACTCTTCAATGCGATGACAAATTCCGGAATTAGGAAAGCTTTGGCCTGATTGAAGCATCTGTCCATGTAAAGGCATTTCAGTCCTTTGCACTTTGAAAGGAAGACAAAGAAGTTGGAATCGATGTCGTTTCCTGACCAAGACAACCTCTGCAGCTTCATTGACTGCTTGAAAAGGTAATTTGTCAGGTCAACCATGTCTTCAGGAGAAACATGAGAGTTTGGAAGGTAGAGTGATGTAACTTTGCTGCGGTTTACCAGGTCAAACAGTTGAGTAAGGACTTTATTGGAATACTGAGAGAATCCGGCATCGAGTCTGACGAGGCTGTCTGGTAGTTTGATATCTCCGAGCTGTTTTGTGGCTGGGTTTCCGTTTAAGTTGATTGAAACATAATTTGAGTTTCCTGACTCGTGTAGTGCTTGGAGAATATCTGCAATCTCTACATTTATCCATCCGATATTGAGATGCTTGATTTGCTTTGTATTTGCGAAAAGTAATTTTAAGTCGAGATTTCTCGCCTGGCAAATATTTAAGTAAACAAGGGAATCAAATGACGGAGTAAATAGTTTTGAGTAGAAGTTTGCATCGAGATAGTCCGCACCAATAAAACCGAGTGAAGTAAGCTTTTTCTCAGATCCGCCCTTGGAAATAGATTCTAGGTATTCCTCGTTCATCGGAAAATAGAGGAGAGCTAAAGAAACAAGATTGTCAAAGCTGAATGTGGAGAGAGATTCCCAGAATGAAGAGAAATTTACAGTTGGATTTTCTCCGTACGCAATGTGCTTGAATGGGAATGTGTGGTTACGTAGTCCTGTCAGAGCGCGCGAAACATCGTTGCCTTCTGAGTTCGGAATTGTGATTTGGTCTGCATAAGGGTAAGTTATCAAAGAGTACAAAATGTTTGGCATAAATTTCATTACTTTTTGTAAATCCTGCTTGAGCATTATATTGTTACTTCGTGGGCGGAGATGATCGTTAAGAAAGGTTGTAATTTCGCGAAATTCTTCTGTAGAACCATACTTGATGCCCAGAGATGATTTGAATCTAGACATACATGCTCTAGGAATGTTATCAAATTTGTCTTGAATAAATGTTTGAAGCTCAATACGTTCATTAATTTCATTTTTTCCTAAAAACCTATATAAGAATTTTCCAAGCAAAGAGGCTAATTCATCTGCATCTTGTGGTAAAAACCTGCAAAGTTCATTCGTTTTTTCATCAAATGTTTTTGAGGGATTAAAAATGAAGTCGAATTCGCCTTCATTTTCGAGATATTTAGCAGAGACTATATTGCTCCAGAAGAATTGTCTGTCAGGTTTATTTTTCTTGTAGTAACGTATATCAAAATCACTGATAATGCAATTTCTTTTATCTGTTCGCTTGTTTCCTTTATCATGAATCTTTTGGATACTTCCGGAATAGAAAATCAATCCTTTTCTCTTTGTATCCTTGATAGGAATTTCTAATTCTTTCGACATTTAATAATCGTCGTTGAATTGAATATTAATATTTGACAGGATTTTTTTGCCAATCACTCGGGGGTTATGAAAAATGAAAAAAATAATCGTCAAAATCACGACGATAGAGGGTGAGATTACCAAATATTGGTTTTTACAAGGAATGAATATATCCTCAGATCAGAACTCGTCTAGAATGAGGTATTTATTAAGTTTGTTCATAGATGTATTTAAATAATTTAGTTATAAGACAAGAATTGCTACGATTCTGACAAAATAACATTAAACATTAGAAATATATTTTTATAGATCGAATGCAGCCACAATTAAATTAGAATCTAAATCCATTTTCCTAAGTAAAGTCTCCCTATCGTTTTTCTGCCTCAATATTGAGTGAACCTCTATCAAAAATTTGAATAAGAGATTTTACAAAAGAAAAGGAGTCTAACATATTTTGGAATTCTTGCACAAAATTGAATTGAACACAAATTAATATTAATGTAAATCATCTATGTATGAAATATTATCATTTTAGCAAAAATTACAATTAAAATATGTATAAATCTGACTTTAATTCAAATTTATGACAACTGGTGTGAAGCATCATTGAAAAACAGCCTTTAAACATATGGATTAAGTGGCACGTCACAGAAGCCTAAAAACATACTTAATTTCCCCAGTTCATAATTTTATTTCTAAACAAATATAGTTACATACAAACATACATAAATTTTAATCGCATATCTAAAGATTTATAAAATAGCATAACAATTCTCTTCTGTTGAATAATTTCATGTATTTGATCATCATTAAGTAAGGATGTCGTTTTGGGGACAATTGGGGATCCGACCAAATAATTTTGGAAGTCTGGGGGACACGTAAAGTGTCAAAAATATTTGTAAAGTGTCAAATCAGTATCCTTGAAGATCCTATCTTTAACATTGTGATTATAGTACTATATGATTTATGTTTATGCTTCTTATATGCTTTTCTTGAAAAAGAATATTTAATAATTTGATGATCTCTTAAATAAATATTTCCAGTCAATATATCAGGATATTATTCTTGTATTTCATAATTTTTATGAATGTTAATGGCTTTCCTCTATTTGTAATTGTTGTGTATGGTTAATCATTATTAATCTTTAAATCCTGAATTGAGTTTCTCAAGATTTAGTATCCCATATCACTTATCTATGTAATATCTTTTCAACTACAACATATTATGTCGGTATTGATAAACTATAAACAATACTACAGATCGATGTCATTAACACAATCATATTTACTGAAATGAGTATAGAAACTAGTTTTTTATGTCTAATAAATACTAAAAGCTATATGTTTAAAGATGTTTTGACAAAGGATAAATAATTTAATTTTTATTTAATGCAATAGATTGTAAGAAATGAATAACTTTAGATTCATATTGTTCACAATAACCAAAAGTAGTAAAAGCAAGACACTAAAAAAATCGAAGTCACGTTTTTCCCCGTCCCCCATGGGGGATGGGGGATGGGGGACGCATTCAAAATTGAATTGATTTTTGGTCTCTCCCATGGGGGATGGGGAAAAACGTGACATTGAGGGAATATTTTATAGTCTATATTTGATTTGGTTTTGTGATAATATGATATAAATAAGTCATTTTCTGCATATAAAGTAGAGCAAAAAACTGTATTTTGAGGAAAATGAAAATTAAATTTGCTCAAAATTAAAGAAAAAGGTCGAAAATCGCATGAAAATCATATTATAATATTATGCATATGTTAAATAAATGATAATACTAAAACTTTATTCCTTGATTATTTTTTGACAGTTTACTAAAAATCTCTGACATCTCGAACTTATCTTGTCACTTTTCGGTCCCCCAGCGTCCCCCAAGTGGGGGACGCAATTGTCCCCAATGGGGACAAAACGACATGCTTACATTAAGCTTGAACCTAAGAAGCAAATATTTAAAAAAATTGGCGAAATAATATTCAAAATTGAGTGCGGGACAAATTTGCCAAGTGTCACTTTTTCAATAACCTTAAATTACGCTTTTCTAATTTTTAAAAAATAACCTTAAATTATATTTGAAGAAATTATGTCTATGATATATGTTTTATGCTAGAATCTTGGAGTTTTCATGTACTACACAAAACTCCAAGGTTCCAAGAGTGAATGCTCAATAGCAATTATAGAGATGTACCTTTTCAAAATGACTTTTACTGATTAAATTTAATCAATAGAAGACATTTTGAAAAGGTACCTCTACAATTAGATATACAAGAGATTCAAAGCTTCATTTCAGATAGATTTGAAACTTTGAAACTCTTGGTAGATTTTGAGTGAATGCTGACAATCATCTTTGAGAAGGTTTTCTTTAAGAAAACCTTCTCAAAGAGGTTTCTCAGGAGCCCCGAGGCTCCCTTTCGTAATGATTGGGAGCCTTGGGGCTCCTGAGACGAAGAATGGCTTCGCCGAATCTTTGATCAGCAGAGGCCAAATGAAAAGGCCTCTGCTGATGGATTCTCAGGAGCCCTGAGGCTCCCTTTCGTAATGATTGGAAGCCTTGGGGCTCCTGAGACGAAGAATGGCTTCGCCGAATCTTTGATCAGCAGAGGCCAAATGAAAAGGCCTCTGCTGATGGATTCTCAGGAGCCCTGAGGCTCCCTTTCGTAATGATTGGGAGCCTTGGGGCTCCTGCAGCAGAGTATCGCTCCGCTCCATTATTTTTTTTTAAAAAGTGTCGTGTGGCAAATTTGTCCTGTTCCCTTCAAAATTTTTCAAGAGGACAGATTTTTAAATGTCGAAATTTATCTTATTAATGAATTTAAATGAAAAGCATAATTATAAAACATTAAGATTGAACAGAGGACAGAAATTGTAAATTAATTGATGACATAAGAATACATAAGTTTGATATTCTTGCAAAGAAGCTGCATAACGTCACACAAAGAATGAGAACGTTTATTGAAGTCTTCAAATAAACATTAAAGAAAATTAAATTATAAAACAATAATATTTAAAAGATATGAGTAATCTTTTCGGTAAAAAATTTCAACTAACTTGGTAGAATCGGATATTCACATTATCTCTTCAGGGTTGGAAATTTTGCATTATTAATTTATTATATATATATATATTAAACAAGTGACACCATAGCTTTATGGTATGTTTTTCTCTGATAAACAATTAAGAATAAATAAAATTTTTTAAAAAAAGAAAATTAAAAAATTAAAAATAAATGATTATCTCATTCATCGCCAAATAGTAATCGATCCAACTCATCGGCCATTTTCTGTTGTTCGATTATCTCCCTTCTGACTCTCATCCTTCTGAGTACTTCGATAAGTTCGTTTTTGAATCTCAATGAATCTGGGTCAAGATCTTCACTTTGTTTTTCGGGCGTGAATTCCAACAACTTCAGCCAAATTAGGGTTGTTAAAAATATCAAAAATTAGCGTTTTGAAGACACCATGGTGTCTTATAATTTTCCCTTCCTTATTGGCGTGTAGAAATAAATGCGCCAATAGATTGAAGAAGAAGAATTGTTTTTCTCTTAATGAACTTTAATCCTTTTGATATAAGAATATTAAAAACATTAATATAATTTCGATTTCGGAAATTAAATTTCCAAATTTTTTGTCGATTTCGGAAATAACAGGATCCCGCATCCAACACGCAACAACAAAACACAAAACACACTTTTTGGTTCTTTCATCGTTTTAATCGTAATTTATGTAATACATGATTTGGATAAATTTTACAAAAATAGAACCTATATTATATTCTTTTCAAAGATTCTTGCAAATCATCAAAAATAATTGTATTTTAAAAAACGATCAAATTATCCTTTCATTATTTTAAACTTAAATTAGTTTTTATGATTGACTAAAGCAATCATATTTATTCATCATTAAATAAACAAAAAATAATATTTGAGACTTATTTCAAAAAAAACATTGAATTTATTAATTTGTCTCAATTTCAGTATTATAAATTTTTATAATTTCAATATTTTGAAATACACTTTTTAATATTTCAATATTTATGATATTTCAATGTATTAAGTGGTCTCAAATCGAGCTTCTCAAATATAAGTTGGCCTATTCAAATAATAAAATTAAATAATATTTAAAATAATAAATAAAAGTGATTGAGGTCATAGCAAAACGGCTGTTTCAGTCATTAATTCTTAAAAATAAAAAGGGTAAAAACTAAATACAATGGGTAAAATTCAATAGTGTCTGTGCTATCGTTCAATTTGAAGGTGTCTTTTGAAACCGCAAGACACATTGAATTTTTGAATAGTGTATTATGGTTTGACAGACACCAATGAAAAAAATAAAATGATATTTATTTTAAATATATAAGATCCTTATATAAAATATAAATATTTTATCGTTTTATTTTCTTGTTTTAGAAATGTTTTTTATTGAAAAATCAATAAAACTAACTCCAAAATAAAATTTTTGATTTAAAGACACTATGATGACACCAGGCAAATCTTCCAAGACACCTATCGTCGGGAATATAACAACCCTAAGCCAAATTTTCAAGGGAGGTAATTTTAGGTACTCAAGGTAAAAACTTCCTACATTAGTGGCATAATCATCGCCAATGCTCTTATATAAAAACTTGAGTATCCTAATGATATCCTTATTTGAATAATGTGACAATTTTAGGCTGGCAGCCATTTATTCTTCACTTTTTGTTTTTGCTAAAAATTTTATTGACTTAGCAAAATTATCTGCTTCTCCTTCTAAAATTAAATCTTCTTCTTATGGCATTCCAAACGGGAACCGCGGTTGGTTACCATGGATTTCCGTCACCGGTCACATTTTAAAGATTTTTAAGCCTTATAAAAATATGCTTTGTAAATCATTTTTTGTAAATCGGCAAAAATTTGGTAATTTTCTTCAACTAATAAATCTGCGAATAGCATTTATAATACAAGAACAATCTTTTAAAATGCGTTTGATTCATTTTTGTATAATTTCATATAGGCACATATATTCTTCCGGGACTTTCCGT